TTTGAGATGCATTTATTGAGATTTTGAGTGGAAGTAGATATGATAGTTTTTGTAGGTGTTTGAGAAATGAAATGAGTATTTCATTTTTACTGAGTATAGGGAGATTGTTTATTAGTAGGAAGTTGTTAAAACAGGTAGTTTCTTCAGTATGAGATGATGTATTAGTAACTGAAGGGAAGGGTAGTTCTTCTGTAGGGTCGCTCACCGTATAACCGGTTTTCACGGTTGTGTAAGAGTCCAAAGCCTGTCCTGTACGTTGGGTCTGGCCATCATAAAATTGGTCTTCCATGTAGGTATACATACATTAATTCAAGCTTTTAGTACTCTATCTTGCATGATATATTCATATTAACTTACTAATAGTGATTATAATCTTTAAATATTTAAGTATTTACTATATACTCAAATTATTTTTAGTTGGCTTCTGTTTAATATTCTTACATATCTGCAGTTTATTTTTTTAAAAATCCTATATAGTATCTATTTTTTTTTTAAAAAAAAAAGTCATATTAATCAACTATTAATACTTTAAGGTCTGTTTACAATTTGGTTGAATTAGAATTAGATAATTATGAAGAAAATAAACTAGTTTTTAATACTATTTATGATTTAAAATTATTTTTTGAGAATTCTAATAATTGTATTTGTCATCAAACTTTAAAGCAAAAAGATCTTAGAACTTGCTTTGAAAAAGTAGAATTTAAACATTTTTTTGAAAGATATTTTGAGTTAAAAGCTTTAAACAAACATGAACTTAAACTTTTTATGAAGTCATAATTAATATTATTTGCAATTATTGATGAGAAATCAAATAATAAAACTTCCATAAAACACACATATAAGTTTAATTATAATAATTTTTTACCTCTTTGTAAGCTAATATATTTAAAATTATATAGAATTAATAGTTACTTAATTTTTACTTTACAAAGCTATTTATAATTAAATGAGTTAACTAAATATATTTATAGAAACATAGGATATGTATTTAAAACAAATTCGAGAGTTTTTTTAGATTTTAATATAATATTTCTAATTAAGTAGTTTTTAATACAATATAGGACAATTTATAGATTTCTTTCTCTATTATGGTATCAAAATAATTTTAGCATTTTTATTTATCTTCCAACTAGTTAGACCTATGTTTCAGTATATAATGAATTTAAAAAAAGTTTTATCTTACTTATAACCAATTAGAAAAAATAGTTTCTTATTTTACTTTTAGAAATTATAGCACAAAATAATTCTAAATCTTTGATTTCAGCTATATGCAAGTAATCTATATAAAGTTTGTACATCTTTTAAGGCTAAATTACTAGTTGTAAAACAAGATATTGATGAATATAGTAAAGTTTAAGTTGAATATAACAAACATAAGAAAGCTGCAAATCTTGAAAGACAATATTATAATAATAATATTGAAGAAAGTAAAAATAATTTAGATATTGAATATATTTGTTATAATTAGGTATAAAGTACCTCTATACTATATTCATTACAACAAGTAGGTTCACTTTATTTTAAATCTACTTTTTTTATAAATATTTTTAGTATTTGTAAAACTGGTAAGCAAAATTATCAACTGAATTTTTTAATTAGTAAAAATGAACTTCTTAAGAGAGTTTCAAAGAGTGCTAATACTACATTAAATATAGTTTATAGTTTTCTTCAAAAAATAAATCCTAAAAAAATAAAAAAATTAAAGGTTATTATGATAACTGTAGTGAGCAAAACAAGAATAATTTATTACTTTAGTTTTGGTTATAGTTATGTTCATTAAATTGGTATGAGGAAATTATTGTTAATTTTATATTGCTTGGTTATACAAAATTTATTTGCAACTCATTTTTTAGACAAATTAAAAAGGTTTATAGAGATAATCGTGTTAATATCATTGATGATATTGAAAATATTATAATTAGTCTATTAAAAAGAAATAATGCAATTCAATATAAAGATGATAAAAGATAAGTTTGATATAATTTTAGTTCTTTTTTTAACAATAATTTTGCATCTTTCTAAATATAAAACAATATTAATATTTTTAATTTAATAGTTTAGAAATTGGAAAAGTTTATGCTTCAAAAAATTAAGTAGAAAGAAAAATTCTTTTCAATTATTACGTAATAACACTTTTAATAAAATAGTAAATTAGATACTATTTCTACTATACTATTATTAGATAATTATAAAAAATATTTATATACAAAAATCTGCTATCATGTTGATGATCAATATAAAGATATTTTTTGTTTACAACTTTGATATTATTTCACTTTTAGGTGTTGTAAGAAATTGCAAGTAATTGATGAATTGATCATAATTATATATAACTATAATTAGTCATGTAATAATTAAATATCATAAAATTTGCACTAATATGTACTATTTTAATATGAAATTACTACATTTATATATCATAAAAGTGTATAATATACTAGATTTGGTTTTAGTTTATTTTACTGATTTTTGAGCTCTTTAGTAGATCCCAGTCTAGTACACACTCAAAAGTTATATTCTGTACTCATTATAGCAGTTTATCTATAAAAACAACATGTCACTCAACAACTCTTCTCTTGACAACCTACAAACTAACAATCAAACTAAACAATTAAATCTTATATACAACTTTCTTCCAAAACCAAATATAGCTATGACCCTAAGTCTTAGAAACAATCAAATCCTATTCATTGAACAACTTCTCACAGCGGACAACCAATTTCTACTTCCTTGGAAAAACACATATCTTAGAATCCACAAACCACCACGAGGACCAACTCCTAAATGGTACAAAAATCTTTCAGACCAAATTAAAACAGCTCCAATATCTGAAATCTGGCCAAATATAGATCTCCTACTGATAAATCCCTTTCTTAACACACTTGACCTTATAACTTTGCAAAACCAAAACAAAAACCACTGGTCCCTACTCAACACCCAAGCTGATTACAAAATTGGAAAGATTATTAATTTTCTACCTTCTCAAACAACAATCCAAATCTATCAAATCCTCTCACAAAATACAAACTCAATACTACTATCACTGACACCAAACCAACTCCATATTAACTATAATCAACTAATCAACATCAAATGTAAAACTCAGAAAGAAAACCAACAATTTAAACTTAG